TGCCTGGGCCCCCATGTTCAATTCCCAGTATCACACATAAACACCAAAAAAGATACTCTCTCCTCTTAAAAGAGTTTATGTATGAACAGCAGAGTCGATAGTGGAGGATACAGAAGTTGTTATGGTTTGGAAAGACTGGAACCAAATTAACAGATTGGGTAGCACATCAGTTAGACTCGAATGATCAATGGGATCTACATTAGCACAGAGATTGAATATTCCAGGAGAGGGGCATCACATACATGTCTCTTAATCTGGGAAAGCCTACCATCATTTCAGCATATTCAGATAACTAGTTTTTCACTACATGTGCTGGTGCATGCCTGTAATCCCAGAACTCTGGAGGCTGAGTCAGGAGGATCACCATGAGTTCTAGGCCAGCCTGAACTACACAGTGAGGCCCAGTCTCAAAAATACTAAACACAAACAAAAACTAGTCTTTCACCTTAAAATACCATTGAGCCAGGCATTGTGTGCATACATGTAGTCCTGGCCTACTGTGGAGGTTGAGGCAAGAGTATCCCAATTCTAGCAGTTCAAGACCGAGGATATAGCTCAGCGGCACAGCGCCTTGCTTGGTGAGCACAAGCCCCTGAGTTCAATTCCTGGTAAAGAAAAAAAAAAAAAAAAAGAAAAGTAAAACAAAGTTCCTCTAGCAGTTCAAGGCCAGCCTGGGCACTATAACGACACCCTGACTCAAGAAGGAGGGAACATAAAACAAAATAGGCTCTTGAGCTCCCTTAGCAGTAAGGGATTAATTTCTTTAAATGTCATCAGGCTCTAAATCCCATGGAAGTGGCGTTGGTGACATGGCATTCTGCGAAGGAAGTGGTGTTTGAAGGAGGCCCTCGTCCATGGATCTTGGAACCCTCCCGATTTTTTCTGGAGCTGAGCACAGAGAAGACAGAGACGATTGAAATAACAGAAGTCCGGCTTCCAGTTAAGAGGAAACAGAACCAGTACAAATACCGAGTCCTGTGCCTGGACTTAGGGGAACAAGTAGGGAAACGGTCTTTCTCTAACATTTCTTTTAGTATAACACTCCAACTCTGTTGTACTTCCAGCCACTCCTTCCAGACCCCAGTGGATTAGTTTATGAATTAGATAGGAAAATTGTAAGTATAAGGATTTTAAAAATATTACTGTTCTTTAAATGTACCTGGCGGTGCCGGGCATGGTGGCGCACACCTGTAATCTCAGCACTCAGGAGGCAGAGTCAGGAGGATCACTGTGAGTTCAAGGCCAGCTTGGGTTACATAGTGAGTTTAAGTCCAGCCTGAACTGAATAACAAAACATTATCTTAGGGGAAAATAAGTAAATAAATAAATAAATGTCCCAGTGGTTTCTTTTCAGTCTGCTCATCTGAGAATTCTAACAGTGCACTAACCGAACAGCTGGAGATCATTTTGTAGTGATGAGCTTATTTCACATTATTTTCAGTCATTTTATCATTATCATTCATTTCCTTGTCTATACTAGAGGATATTTGGTTTCTTATTTTCTTTTTTTTGTTTTTTCTTTTTGGTACCAAGAATCGAACTCAGGACCTTGCACTTGCCAGGCAGGCACTTGTGCCACTGAGCTATATCCCCAGTTCTGGTTTCTTAGTTTCAAAGAATTCTAAAAAGAAAAACTTTAGAGTGTCTTCTACAGTTAGCAATTTTGAAGAACCAGTTAGATCTGCACTGATAATAGGAATAAATATTTTACCCTGTATCAGTTGAATTAGCTTTCTTTTTAGAGGTAGTTCCTCTGGGAGCTGGGGATATAGCTCAGCGGCACAGCGCCTGCCTGGCAAGTGTGAAATCCTGAGTTCGATTCCCGATTCCAAAAAAAAGGAGGTAATTCTAGTTTACAGCTATGCCCTGCCCTTAACAAAACTAGTAACAAATGAGCCAGGTGTGGGAGTGCACCCCTGT